ACCAGGGACACCCGAGCAAAGCCGCCGCCTGGGCGGCTTTGCTCGTTTGCCCGGGAGCAAAGCCACCCAGGCAGCGGGACCCCCGCTGCCTGGGCGGCTTTGCTCCTGTCCCCCTGGTCTGCTGGGGGAGATCCAGAATCTTGCCGGGTCTGTTGGGAGGATGCATGTGGGACTGGGTGATTCACTGAGACATCTGGGAAATTAAACCACCTGGTGTGCCCAGCCGTTTCATAGTCAGTGCTCCTGAAATAACACCTGTTATTTGGATAGGGATAGGAAATCAATGGATGCTTTGGCCTTTAGAACCCCCACAGCTTCAGTGCATACGAAAGCTGAGACCAGGGGAAGTTGTAACCATACATGACAGCATTTGCTAGGAAGGTATGGGACAAGGATACACTCTAACAGGACATTTGCTCTTTCAGGCCAATGATAGCTGTGTACACATTAATACCACCACCTTCCAAGACATGCACTTTCATCTCACCACTGTTATGGGAAATCATGTTATTTATTGGCCCACAGACAAGGTCCTACGAACAGCCCTTAGATTCCAAATACCCCTCAACTGGACTACCCTAATACCCGACCGATTCCAGAATTTACTTTCACTCATACCTGAAGTCCAGAAAATCTCTGAATTACAAGGTCAAATTCATGTTCTGTTGTTGTTATAGAGGATGTACTAATGGAAATAGTTTTCATGTTCATACTAATCCTGTATTACCATTGCAATCAATCCATACCTGTGAGGTCAATCCTCTCGATGTTAAAACAGAAATACAATGTTTAATGAATATAGAGATTTGAAGAAGTAGTTGTGCCTAGAGCACAAAAGGGGGGATTGTGGAAGCAGGACTAAGGGAAAGGGGATTTGGGTGGCCATTTCAGGGTTTGTCAGTAGCAGAGCAAGAGTCTGGGTCACTCTGACTCCTCTTAACATGAGAGCCAGAAGAGAGGCTGTGTTAGAAAGGTATATATATTGGCTTTTAATTGTTTTGTATTTGAAGATCCGCTTATGGATGTCTTCCCTTGCAATATTGCTCGAATAAACTGCCTCTGGCTACTTGTTGCTTAAACACAACGCAGAGTGAAGGCTTGTTTTCTTCCAAATAGGCTTCCTATTCCGAACTACCGTTACTCCTTGTGGAATGAGATGTACCGGTAGTTCGGAATAGGAAGCCTAATCTGAACTACCTACTCCGGGCCGCGTGTAGCCCCGGGCATGGAGTCCGAACTAGCGGTGATTTAAAATTGGCGACACCCGGCAAGATGCAAATGAAGCCCGGGAAATTCAAATCCCGGGCTTCATTTGCAACTTCGGTTGCCTACATTGACCACCCTAGTTCGAACTAGGGTGGTAGTGTAGACGTGTACATTAGAAGCAGGAAGCCTGCTAAAAAGCTTGTGGGTCCCCTAGATGATCGAGCTATAAAAGGAGCAATCAAGGACGATAAAGCCATTGCGGAGAAACTAAATGATTTCTTTGCTTCAGTCTTCACGGCTGAGGACGTTGGGGAGATTCCCAAATCTGCACCGTCCTTTGTGGGTGATGAATCTGAGGAACTGTCCTGGATTGAAGTGTCATTAGAGGAGGTTTTGGAACAAATAGAAAAACTTAATGTTAACAAATCTCCGGGACCGGATGGCATTCATCCAAGGGTTCTAAAAGAACTCAAATGGGAAATTGCGGAGCTATTATCTGTGGTTTGTAACCTATCCTTTAAATCAGCTTCCGTACCTAATGACTGGAAGGTAGCCAACGTGACACCAATATTTAAAAAGGGCTCTAGAGGCGATCCTGGCAATTACAGACCGGTAAGTCTAACTTCAGTACCGGGCAAATTAGTCGAAACAACAGTAAAGAATAAAATTGTGAGGCACGTAGAAGAACATAATTTTTTGGACAAAAGTCAACATGGTTTCTGTAAAGGGAAATCATGTCTTACTAATCTATTAAGGGTGCGTCTAGACTGGCAAGATTTTGCACAAAAGCAGCCGCTTTTGTGCAAAAACTTGCCAGCTGTCTACACTGGCCGCTTGAATTTGCGCAAGAGCACAGACTTTGTAATGTACAAAATCAGTGCTTCTTGCGCAAATACTTTCCAGTTCCCGCTTGGGAAAAAGCCCTATTGCGCAAGAATACTTGCGCAAGAGGGCCAGTGTAGACAGGGAAGAACTGTTTTGCGCAGAAAAGCCCCGATGGCTAAAATGGCGATCGGGGCTTTCTTGCGCAAAATTGCATCTAGACTGGCCACAGATGCTTTTGCACAAAAGCACTTTTTGCGCAAAAGCATCCGTGCCAATCTAGACGCTCTTTTGCGGAAATACTTTAAACGGAAAAACTTTTCTGTTAAAAGTATTTCCGCAAAATCATGGCAGTCTACACGTAGCCTTAGGGTATGTCTGCACTAGCTTGTTAGTTTGAACTAGGTAGGCAAATGAGGGCAACCGGAGTTTCAAATGAAGCCCGGGATTGTCTTCGGTCCACCCTCTCTGGGCCACTGTCGGCAGACAGGTTGCTGGGCTAGATGGACCTTTGGTCTGATTCCATACGGCCATTCTTATGTTCTGAACTAAACAATGATGAAAAGTATAGAACAAATCATAATGCAGAATACTTTGCGTAATAGTATGCAAATTTCAGTTTAAACTCCAGTGTTAGCTATATGAGAAAAAATATTTTAATAGTAGTGAAAGGTACAGGATTGGGTCCTTTATTTTACAGCCCCTAGTGGCACCAAATATTAAGTTTGTTATAATGAAAATTGCAGATGGTAAACGTAATGTTCAGTTCTGTCCTTTAAATCATGTTGGTTTTTATGAACAAGAATACTTCAACAACAATACTGTAGAATTTTAAATGCTGTTACTGTAAATAGTATATCCTATATAGTTTTTTTGTGCTCTGTGTAACTTCCATAAGTTTGGGAGGTTGTTTTTATAAGTAGCATTGGCTTCTTGTGTCTAATTCTGATATCATCTGAATGTTTTGCTTATATATTTTTCTGTATAGTGGCTATGGCTGTTCAGATCACTACTATGAATCCGATACAGTCTTGCATTCATTTGAAGTTCTGGCAAAGCTGTTGGAATCTCCTGTCACTCAAGACATCATCTGTGACGTGGGAATGTAAGTGTTGCATAATTATTATAAAGAGGTAGCTGCTTTGGAAAAAGGTATCTGAGAAAATGCTACTGGTTAGCAAGGACACTGGAGCTACAATGGGCTAACCATAGTGTTATAGTTGTGTTGCTGAATGTCAAATGTGGCAAAAGGTGCATAAATATTTATCACATTTACATTCAATCTCATGTAATGTGGTAGATATTAGTCAGTGTTTTTTAATAATCAGCTTGTTTTATTTAATTAACTTAGCTTTAAGTAACACTGATTTTTTTGTTGTTGTACAGGCCTGTTATGTGCAGAAACGTTCGCTACAACTGTAGAGTGATCTTTTTAAACAAGTATGTGTCTCTATAAAGATAATATCTTTTATAACTGCAGGTTAGGTTAACTTCTTGGTATGTAATTATCAATACAAAACAACATCTCATCAAATTTATATTTAAAGTCCGCTCCATATCTAGTTAATTTTGAAGAGATTGGCAATTTTTGTGAACTTTCTATTTATAGTCATATGTTTTTAATGTAAGCATCAAAAACTCTCACTGCTACAGACCTATAAAACCAAAAGGAGAAGCTGAATCAGGCAGACTATGCAAAGGAAAACAGTGAAAATGACTTTATACAAATTGATGTCAAATATGCAAAGTAAACATACAGGAAAAATAAATAGAAACGTGGCATTTCTTTGCTCATTTTTCTTAAACTGCCCCTCCTCCCTTTTTTTTTTTTTAACAGGAAAATTCTTCTGATCAGGCCAAAGATGGTGCTGGCAAATGCAGGAAATTACAGGGAACTTCGATGGTTTACTCCATGGAGCAGAACACGGTGAGCTATGTACAGTGTACAAGTAAAAAGGCTAGAAAGCATGGATTTGCCGTTGCAGTCACAGCAAAGTGATTGAAATCCCCATACCAAAGAGAAATTAATTTAAGCCACTTAGTGGTATTTCATTTAGAAAGCTCTTTAAATAAGAGTACATTTGTATCCCTTACAAGAGCAGAGGGCTCTTCCAGGAAGAGTCTGCTTCCAACAAGGCAGTGTTCTTCCATACCCATTTTCCCAGACTGCCTTCAAACCAAGCGGAAGCTTTTCAATAGGGTCAAGGGTTGGAAGGGTCCCAGCACATACCCAGCTGCAGGTGGATTTAGATTGGTGTATCTTCTCTAGGGGTATGTCTGGACTACATCCCTCTTTCGAAGGAGTGATGTAAATTAGATCAAAATTGCAAATGAAGCCAGGATTTGAATTTCCCACGTTTCATTTGCATAATGGCGGCCACATGTTCTTTCGAAAACGGGTATGTTGAAAGTGAAACCGCTGTCTAGACGCAGTTCCTTTGAAAAAAAAAAAAAAAACGTTTTTGAAAGATCCTGTACTCCTCATTGAGGGGTTTTTCTGGAAAGAACTGCATCTAGTCAGCGGTTTCACTTTCGAAATACCTGTTTTCGAAAGAACGCATGACTGCCATTATGCAAATGAAGTGCGGGAAATTCAAATCCCGACTTCATTTGCAATTTTGATCTGTCTAATTTACATTCCTCTTTCAAAAGAGGGATATAGTCTAGACATGCCCTATATGTTTACAGAAAATTCTAACTCAAGAACAGAGCATGGATTTTTGGTTGCCCTGTGTCACAGCTGATGTGTATTGATATAATGGTAACCTCTGACCTTGAACTCTGTGAAACATTGTTAGCATTAACCGTACATCAGGTTAAAGCAGAGAATTTATTTCTGAGCACTGCTGATTGAGATAATTGTTTTAGGTATGTGGAGGAATATTTGCTCCCCAGAATGATACAGGAGGTGACAGGACAGGTGAGTTTAAGAAATGTGTGTTTTTTTTATCTTGTTTTAATATCAACTAGACATAACAATTTAATCAAAAATAACATAATTACAGTATAAAGGCTAAATTCTGCTGTGAGTCACAACCATGCAAATTCAGTGGTTTCAATGGAGTTTCTCAATTACGTGTGTAAATGAGCCAATAATATAGTCTTATTTATGTAAACGTTAATATTCTGCAGCAATGCAGGAGGGTCCAAAGTTTGACCAGCAAAGGATCTCATTGGCTGCTTACCAGGAATTTGAGGATCATACCTGAATTACCCAAAGTAGAACAGATTTTTCTCTTTGCATCATACGCATTTACAGCCTGCAGTGGTTGCAGGTTACAGCACAAAGTGTTCCATATTGGTCTAAGTGGACAGCTCTGACTTACTGCTGCACTTTTTTGTTAGATCTGAGGGTAGCTTACAGAATTGCATCGGCTTCCCCTGTTCTACAGGGCATTTAATTAAAAAGAGATGGGCCTGAACCAAAACCCTAGATTCAAACATGACTGGAACTCTGAGAAAGGTAAAAATCTGATCTGGATTTGCAGGTTAGGCCTATCTCTAAGTAAAATCAGTTTGAGATTAAAGAATGTGTTTTATCCTTGCTCCCTTGATACTAAGTTTATGTAGGTCAGTATTTTTCTTTTTGGGGGGTTGTTTTTTTTACCTCATATAAAACAATGTCCCTTTTTAAGTATGTATGTGTATGTTTTTTGTTTACCTCAGGAAACTGTTCCTTTTGGTGATGCAGTGCTAGCAACCAAAGATACATGCCTAGGGAGTGAAATCTGCGAAGAGCTGTGGGCACCAAATAGGTAAGTTTAAGAGATGAATAAAAGGTAGGATAAGCATGTCCTGCAGCTGCCAAAAGGACAGGTGCCACTGCAAAATTCAGTTAATGTTCCTCTATGGCAGTGGTCCCCAATACAGTGCCCGCCGGTGCCATGGTGCCCTCCGGGGCATTTATGTGTGCTCGCCTAGTGACCAGGGCCAGCCCAATCCATTCCCGGGCGTCCGGCAGCCCCAAAAGGTTGAGGACCACTGCTCTATGGAGAAAATCTTTCAGAAAGTGCTGGTATAACAAGTAGCAGTAAATGCATGTGGGGAGAAAGCAGTCTAAGTAAATGGGGCAAATAATTTTGTTGTCTTTATGTATTATAGCTTCAGTGTTGAGAATTCTGTGTGCCCAAGTCATTCCAAGGGGACAGATGAACCTGAGAGTTTTAAATAGGTAGATTGTGTACCATGAGGTCCACTGTACTAAAATGTCTCCCAGAACAATATGTATGGAAGCAAATCTTTCAAATATGGTTTAGTGTGCCTTGTAAAGAATTAGGAAAAATACCTGTGCCATGAGCCTGATAGCAGTGAGAAACTCTTTAACATCATATTGGTGTAAGTGAGATCAGTATCAGGCCACTTACCTGCAAAGGAGACTTCCAGTCGTTGTTCCATATTCAGAGAACCTTATTAATTTTCACACTGCAGAATTCTACTTCCCTCATGATATCACTTACAAACTCACCTAGAAGTGTATTATCCACTCCTTAATTTCAGTTTTATTCCTTTTTAATTATCAGCTTTATTTTGTTAACCTTAATATTGCAGCCAATGCATAGGGTGATAGCTGAAGCTTACTCAGAATATACAACATTCAAGACATACTATTTTAAAAAATATTTAGTTGATACTCTGGAAGTTTTTTCTTGTTTACAGGAATGTAAATTCCAGTATCTTTTAAATAGTGTGTCCTGAATTTTGTTGTTTTATTTTTTAATATCTTGGATTTTTTATCAGAATTTTTCTTTTCTTCTGTAGTGGTTTAAAAGTGTTTACAAGAAATACACTACCTCAGGTCCTGGTCTTTTCAGATTAGCAGGCAGGACTGGATACCAAACTGACATACAGTGAAGCTGACTATAGTTCAATGGGCTGTCACATACGTAAATTAAACAGGAAAAGAAGTATAAACTTTTCTCTAAACCATTGGCAACCTGTGGCCCATTAGGATTCTATGTCTGGTCCGCAAGACATTTTGTTTACTGTTGCCCATATGCAGGATTTCCAGATTCTGCTGGTTTCCATTTGTGTGGTTTATTTTGTACCGGTATTGCTAAAATGACATGTATGTAAAGCAAAGGCATACGAAGTAAAGTGCACACATTGACTATAAAAGCCGTGCACTCTGTCTGCATCCAATCAAAGTGTTGCTGCAGTTCAAACAGCACACCCTGCAAATTCTAGGTTCACAAAAATAGTTAGCAAAATTACTCTAACCTGAGAGATTAATTGTCCTTTTAACATTAGGAAGCTGATTGAAATTATACTACTGTATAGACATTTCTTTTTAAAATATAACATGCTTATTTCTTTTCTCCAGGTCATGCCACTATCATGCCGCTGTAATCAATCTTTTTAGCAAATCCCACAACAAAAATAGGAGAGAAGAGACATGCTGACCTTCACAGTGTTAGAACTCCCTCAGTGTTAGAAATCTTCTCCTTTCTTCTCAAAGGAGGGTCATCTTATCTTTTTGCCTCTCTGGGATTAAGATACTTGGCTCTATGAACAGGTGACTGCCTTTGAATTAGAAGGATGGTGTTCAATAGAATAAGGGAGGAGGATCAGAAGTCCCCCTTTCCTATGGGAAACTATCCATGACAAAGGAACAATGCAATGCAGGGAAATAGATATATTTTAGCAAACATTTCCACTATTTGGACCAACCAAGACACATATTAAACTGACAATGGACTGCTCTAGGTATGGCAAAGCTGTTGTTAGTTGTGACTAGTTAAATGACACGCAGGAAAGGCCTGCTGAGTAGTGTCCTGTTTCTTATTTTCACAGCCCTCATATTGAAATGGGACTTGATGGGGTGGAGATCTTCACTAATTCTTCAGGGAGTCACCATGTGCTGCGGAAAGCTCACACTCGTGTGGATTTGGTAAATTCTTCAACAGCAAAGGTAGGTCTTTTTAAAGACTCGCTCATCTCTTCAATACTTACCCTGTTTTTTCAGGGTGGTCTTCTCTGTGCTGATCTGGCATAGTGTTTCCTGCCTGTGCCGGTAATTAGGCTCCTTGGCATCAGAAAAGTAAATTTGTAATCTTTGTTGCATACATATCTATAAAGGAAAGTCAGCAAAATCTTAAACTAGGATACATTTAATTATGCCAAACACCAGGGATATAAGATCCAAGGAATTGGTGCCTTTGTTTCTCCTCTATCTTTTTTTTAAAAATCCCTTTATTTTAAGAGAAAATATATTTAGTGATTAGGCACTAACTGTACCTATTTTTGATAGAGATGAGGTGGGGGAACAAGTGAGTGAATGGCAAGCTAAGCCATGAAAAGTGATTAGTGTGTGTATGATTGCTTCTTCATAGTAATTTAACATGTCTTGCTTGCAATTAGTAATATCTGCTATGCTCCAAAACATCAAAATATAATTTCTTCCTCATTTTGTTAGGCCTGTTATTCTAAAGCATTATTATTATTTTTGCAACAACTCCTGTCTTGAACTTTTAATTTCAGTTCTAAAGTATAGACCTCCACCACTCAAAGGGGCAACTCAACTCCGTCTGCTGGTAATAGCCACTTAAGGGAGATGTCCATTGCCTGATCAAAAGTTAAGTCACCAATAGGATTGCTCAATTCATGCTCAACAAAATGTCTCTTATGTGTACATAATAGGGACCAAGCTGTCAGATTGTACCAGCACCAACAGATTTCCTAATACAGATCATAGTCTTGTAAACAGCTATCTACAGGCAGAGTTCATATAGGCCCACAGACATCAGTGGCAAGGGAAGGAATTTGCCAACATGGAGCAGTTGATAGGTCTGGGACCTACAACAGCATACTGCAAGCACTATGTTCAAAACTCAGGGTGGATAACAGTAGCCAAGGGCCGTCCGGCTTCATGCAAATGAAGCCCGGGAAATTCAAATCCCGGGCTTCATTTGCAACTGCGGATAACTACATTACCCCCGCTAGTTCGAACTAGCGGGGTTGTGTAGACATACCCTTAGCTAGTATGTTATATGATTTGCTTCCACGGGGTTCACTAAGAGCTGAGCCCTTTTCAAGTGAAAAGAAAGGAATGGTTCCTAAATTAGTCACAACATAAAGATGGAGAGTGTAGTTGGGAGTGGGGAAAAAGAAACAAGTAGATTTGCCATTCAACATGGTTTTCAAACTGTCATATTTTGAAAAATAACATTTTTTTCTCCTAGAACGGTGGGATTTATGTCTTAGCCAATCAGAAAGGCTGTGATGGTGATCGTTTGTACTATGATGGTTGTGCCATGATTTCTATGAATGGACACACCATTGCTCAAGGATCCCAGTTTTCACTGGATGATGTGGTAATAAACTCAGGCTGAACGCTGTTGTGAGATTCATTTCACTTCTTGGCCTCCCTAACCTTTGCATTGCTCTCTTTGTCTCCAACCTTGTTGCAAGGTAAAGTCAGTGGGGCTGCATCTACACTGAGGCTTTTCAGAAATTCTGCTGCCATTGATCTAGCACAAGTTCAATTCCATGGGTGCGAGAGAGGCTAGATGTCCCAATGTAGAGCAGGCAAATGTCTTTTTTCCAAGTTATCCAACCCTGCTCGAAGATCTAGATGTCACTGTGGTAAAATAATTCCCTGCACCCAATCTGCATGAGCATTTCTTTTGCCTACCCTGATGGAGCTGCAGCAGTGGAAGGATTTCTGAACATCCTCGAGTAGACCGAGCCAGGGAGGGTTGGCTATCGTGGTGGGAAGCAGGCCCTGTTGTGCTTATTTTTAAGCACGTGAACGCAAAAATATGAATTATAGGCCCAATTTTGCAAACCCTTATGTGACTAAGAAACTTGTGAAGTTAGTGTGAACTTTCTCGTGTAAGGATTACAGGATAGTCTGTTGTCCCATGTATTCAGTATAATTGTTTTTATTTAATTGAGGATTCCTATTGAAATCACTGGCACTACTCTGATGTGTAGATTAAGCAGGAAATATTTATGTTGAGAATGACTATCCATTTTAAAATAATTCTTCGTATTGTATGTTTGGGTTTGAAAAACCTGTTCTATATCTATGTTTGACGTCTAATTTAAAATGATTTTCCCCAGGAAGTGTTGGTTGCTACACTGGACTTGGAAGATGTTCAGAGTTATAGGGCGGAAATATCATCTCGTAACCTAAAGGTAAGAATTCTTCAGATGCATTGATCTTATGCTCTTTGGACAATTTCAGTAAGTCACTGAGTTAACACATCTTCATTTATTGAAAATGAGTGTTGAAATACTTTGGCTTCTGCAGTATTCCAGAAGATGTATACCTCTGAACTTGTAATGCCTTTACAGATAAATGCACATTAAAACTGATGACTTTCCACATTTTCTATTCTATTAGGCAAGCAAAGTGAATTCCTATCCCAGAATAAAAGTGAATTTTGCTCTGTCATATTTTGATAATATATGTGTACCTGTCTGTGAGCCAATCCAGTGGAGATATCATAGTCCTGAAGAAGAAATCTGGTAGGTATAATGAAGTAATGAAGGGGGAAATTAATTTAATCAAAAATATTGTCTGTTGCAAAGTTTATTGGCCAGGTTAAAAAAATTTGGAGGCTAAAATTATTTCTTGTTTATATGTAAAGTCCTAGGGGGAAAATGTCTAAATAAATATCATCATCAAAAATTGATTTTAAAATATGAAATAGTTCTATTCCACAGCTATTCTGGAATATTTATTTTTTGTAACTTTCAGCCTTGGCCCGGCATGTTGGCTTTGGGACTACTTAAGACGCAGTAATCAGGTAAAAACTCTTTTTTCACCATTGTCTTTATATGTTTTAACCATAAGAACAGTATAGGTAGCTTCCATTATCTTCGCCTCTTTAGTGCAAGATAATTTTGAAAGATTTTTCACTAGTATCTTTGGTTTGGGATTAAAACACTTATTCAAGATGTGTTTGGGCTCATCTAGACTACGCTAAAGTGTCGAAAGGGGATATGCAAATTCTGTGGGGATTTGCATATCTTCTTCCAAACTCAAGACTTATTTTTTCAGCAACCCCCCTCTTTTTCAAAAAGCCGCGTAAACCTCATTTTTTGAGGAAAAGCGACTTTTCGTAAAAGGGAGGGTTGCCAAACCCCCTGCATCTTGACTCCTTTCACTTTTGAAAGCGAGATTAGAAGAAGCTATGCAAATTCTGTGGGAATTTGCATATCCCCTTTCGACACTTTAATGTAGTCTAGATGAGCCCTTTGTCGGTTCTTTTCAGATCTTTTAGTGTTCAGTCCTGCTTGCTTTACATTCAGTAACAAACCTCCCATTGAAATAAGGGATGCTTGCTTGCTTATGTATGTATGTATTTATGTATTTATTTATATATGTATGTATGTAGCTTAAGTTTGGTGCTCCAGGTTCCTGAAAGCTCCATACCTCTTATGGCATAATAAAAGCATCCTTTCTACCCTGTTCTCAGAGACAATATACCATATTATTCCTGATTTAAACCTTTGCAATCTGATTAAAGTCAGTGGAATTGTGTATGGTCCAGTCGACACTAATCTAATCAGGTTGTTTAGGATCACTCTAGAGAAATTCCTTCTAAGAGTGTCATTCATTAATCTGTTTTCTTTTTTCATTCATGTTGCTGTGGATTTCTTCTGCTTGGTTTTGGGACTCTTTTCATCATGCATATCTTCATGCCATACATCACACACAGACTAAATTATGTTACTTGTATTTATACCCGTTCTGGGCCTGCTCCCACACCCGTTGAAGTCCAGTAGAAAACTACCAGACTTGACTGGCCCTGCTGGCCAGAGCGTGCATAACTTATATGAGGGAGGGATGCAGGACTGGGCTCAAAATATTGTTTCTGAAGGGTAAAATATGTTTTTCCAATGACACTTTTTACAGCTTTTTCCATTGCTTGCTGTTTAAGGCAGGATTTCTCCTACCGCTTAGTGGTGGAATTGACAGCTCTGCTACAGCTTGTATTGTGTACTCCATGTGTCACCAGGTTTCCCTTGCAGTCAAGAATGGAAGTAAGTTGGGGAATGTTTGTGTCCTTGACTGAGTAACCAAGCTTGCTAGTGGTTAGAAGCAGATGAATATTAGCCATTCGTACATTACATAAGGTGTAACATACTGGTGATATGCTTAATTAGAGATTAGGACCAAGCTTTGCATTTCAGTATAGCGTGGCAGCTAATAGCCTTACATGTCTTTTGCGAAACCCAACCAAAATGTGGATCCATATTTCAAAGCTTCTTCATATTTTATTTATGGGTTTTAGTAAGCTATGAAACTCAGGTTATGTCTGCACTTACGGCATGTAGAGCACATACACCGCATGCCTACTAGCAAGAGTATAGCTAGATAGTGAGGTGTGGCTTAGGTGAGGTGAGTGCCCGATATTCCTGAACCTCAAGGTTATACTTTACATGGCTCCCTGTGTGCCCAAGTAGTGCCTATCCTGTTTACTAGGGGTGTAAAATCCCATTGAATTGGTTAAACAGGTAAATGCAGTGCTGGCACTGTGTGTAACCTTTAACTGATTAAATGGAGTCTGGGTGGGGGGCCCATTAGGGTTGGGCTAGAATGGTCCCTACTGCAGTCAAGGGGCAGCTCTGGCCTGGCTCCTTCCAGCCACTGCTGCCACAGCTCCTACCTGTGGCCACTGCAGTTCCCAGAGCCTGCATAAGGTTGCTGCTGCCATGATTCCCAGCCCCTGCGCAGGGGCAGCTGTCGTGGTTCTTTGCCCATCCCCACCCCTCCTGGGGCTGCCATTGCTGCCCCTACCAACTCAGTGTCGGCTGAGAGCCAACATCCCCATGTAGGGGGCCTGGTGGGGCTGGAACAGCCCTCCGCTTGTGGCTGGGCCATGGGCTGCTCCTGGTTACCACTTAACTGTTAGCCAGTAAGCATCACCCAGACATCCCTAATGTCTACACTGCTATTTTTATCCGGTGGTGTCTAACTGCCTCCCTGCTGCCAGAGCCTTTTCCTGCCACAGTGTAAAGCTGCGGTGGGGGAGAGAATGGGGCAGAGCAGAGGGGAATGGCTGTGGCAGGAGGCAGCAAGGAAAGGCTCTGGCAGAATGAGGCTC